AACAAGTGGACCTGCCGCAGCCACGCTGCGGCGAAGGACGATGACAAAAACATTTTGCGAAACACCCCGGACATCGGTTGGACCCCATCTTTGCAATGTGCCCCTATCGGACACCGTCCAACTTTGCAAAATGCCCCGGTAGTTGCCAACTTTTCGTAGGTGCAATTGCAAAAGGCCAAGGCCCAGACGGGGAGGCTGACATTGTGAATTTGCACACGCAGCTGACAGGGGCATAACACAAAGATGTCAGCCCACAAAGGCCATTCCACTGTGCCGAGATCTTTCAGGGACATTTTGAAATACACCTCAACTTATGGGGGTATTTGGCAAATTAACACCGCCCCAAAAAAGGCCGATGGCATCTTTTCAACATTTGGAGGAAGCACGGTCTCTCTCTCTCTCTCTCTATCTCTATCTCTCGTGTGAATGCGCACACACATACTTCCTCCCCCTTGTGCGACCTCCTCTCCCTAGCACGACCTCCTCGTCCTCCCTCGTGGCCCCCTCCTCCCGCTCGCACAAACTCCTCCCCCTAGCGTGACCTCCCCCTCCCATGGGTGCGACCCCCTCCTCCTCCCGCACGACCTCCTGCAACCTTTCATCCCAGCGTGCGACCTGCTCCTACCCCTCCCATGACCTCCCCCTCCCCCGTGCACAACCCACTCCTCCCCCTCTTCGGACCTCCTCCTCCCCCTCGCGCGACTTCCTCCTCCCCTTCACGGGACCTCCTCCCCATCCTTGCGCACCCTGCTTTTCCCCCTTGCACATCGTCTTCCGACCGCCTCCTCCCTGTCACGCGACGTTCTCCCACCTCTCTTTTGACCTCCTCCAGCTCCTCCTCCTCCTTGCGTGACCTCCTCCTCACCTCTCACGTGTCCTCTTCCGACTTCCTCGTCCCACTCGCGCGACCTCCTTCCACTTCCCTTCCGACCTCCGCACAACCTCCTGCAACCTCTCCTCCTCCTCGTGCGACCTGCTCGTCTCCCTCACACTACCTCCTCCTCCCCCTTGCACGACCCACTCCTCCCCCTTGCACGACCTTCTCCTCTCCCTTGTGCGACCTCCTCCTAGGCTCCTCCCCCTCTTGCGACCTCATGCTCGTCCTTGCGCGACCCGCTCCTCCCCCTCACACATCGTCTTCCAACCTCCTCCTCCCCCTCGCGCGACCTCCTCCTACCCCTCACGCGACCTCCTCCTACCCCTCGCGCGCGCCCCTTCTTCCCCTCGCGCGACTTCCTCCCCCTCTTCTGACCTCTCCCTTTCTCCACCTCTTCCTCCCCCTCACACAACGTCCTCCGAATCCTTGTGCGACCTCCTCCCCTCACGCGTCCTCCACCCAACCTCCTCATCCCCCTCGCACGACCTCCTCCTCCTTCTCCCCCTCGCGCGACCTCCTCCTACCCCTCGCACGACCTCCTCCTACCCCTCGCGCGACCTCCTCCWACCCCTCACGCGCCCCCCTTCTCCCCCTCGCGCGACTTCCTCCCCGTCTTCTGACCTCTCCCTTGCTTGACCTCTTCCTCCCCCTCACACAACGTCCTCCTAATCCTTGTGCGACCTCCTCCCCCTCACGCGTCCTCCACCCACCTCCTCATCCCCCTCGCACGACCTCCTCCTCCTCCTTGTCGCGATGTCTGCTTCCCCCTCGCATGACCTCCTCCCACCTCCCTTCCGACCTCCTCCTCCTTGTCGCGACGTCTGCTTCCCCCTCGCACAACCTCCTCCTCCTCCCCCTTGCGCAATGTCCTCCTCCCCCTGGCAACCTCCTCCCTACATCCTCTCCCCTCCTCCATGAATTCTCGTCGTCTGCCATGCTTATCGTCCTCATCCTTTTCGTCCCTCTTTCTCCTTTTCCATCCTACTCCTCTTTCCTCCATTCTCATCGTCCCCTTGCTCCTCCTCATTTTCGTTGTTCCTCCTCGTCCTCGGTGCTCCTCATGCTGCCTCCTTTGTTTCGATCGGCCCAAACATGGTTCTCCCTCTTCATCCTCCCTCTTTCTCCCACCCTTCCTGCTCTGAGCGCACACGTGCCACATGCCCCAAATGTCTTTCTCCCTCTTCCTCCTTCCGCCTCCTGTGTTGATCTTCCCTCCCCCATCACATCTTTCCATTGCCGCCCTTTTCCATATCGACGCGGCCCCCGCCCGGCACCACGGACTGGCAGGAAACAGAACTGAATGGGGGGGTTGATATAAAAACCGTGGCAGCGGGGAATGGGACTTTGTGTCCTCCCGACACTGCAGAGCGGGGCGTGTCGTGTGGAACCGCCACACCGAATTTCCCTCACTCCCGGCCGCAGTCCCGCCACGAAACGTCGCGGCCGATTTACCTTGCCCCAGCCCCGCCCGCCTCCACACCGAATTTTGCTGGGCCCAGCGGGAAGCATCACGCTGGGCCCTTTGCATTCTTGAAGAGTATGGGATAGGGAAGTAGGTACGTGACTGTATCCACACAACGTACATGAAGAAGGACAGCGGTAGTCCAGGCTGCAAAGGAGATGAGAGAAAGAAGGCAGTGACCAGACTGCGTAGCAATCGTTCGCACACAATGAACATGCAGAGAAGTCAACACACTTCACTTGGTCAACTTGCACGTACACATACATGCATGGACAAGTCTTCTGCTGCACATATTTCTCCTGTGTGATGTAATGATTCCTCTTCCTCTGCCCTTTCTTCTGTGTGTGTATGGGCATGCATGGGAGACTCTGTGTGTGAGTGTTGGCGAAATTGACAACAAGCAACCAAGTTCATCACACATGTACAAGAGAGAAAACTTGAGATCGTCGATTGCAAAACAGATAAGCACAGAGAGCGTTCCTTGAAGTGTCGATGCAGGCGCAGAGGCAGCATGGCAAAGTCCAAGCGTCTGACTTCCCATTTCGCCGTTCTTTCTGTACGCTTTTTTTCGAGTGTCTGATTTTTACATATCCAACTAATGAATCTGGACTGGATTATTTGTTTCTTCGTGTGGCAGGCAAACATCTGGATCGCTATTTTTAGCTTCAATGTCAACTACTTTTTTACGCACTACTTCTATACAGTTCTCGGAGCTCGGTACACTTTTCCATCATGGAGACTGAACAATGTATGTATGCTCTAAAAACACAAAAATACTAAAATAGTTAAAATTTTAAAATACTAAAAAAATTAAAAAAATAGTAAAATGCACCAAATAAAAAAATACGAAATAAAAATCCATTTGTATCTACTTTTCCAAGTTTTCCTTCCTTTCAAATTCGTTTCCTTTTCATCCCCTTGTTGTGTGCTCCCTTCGATCTTTCCCTACAATTTCTACTATCTCACCCCCCTCCTGCCTACCCCCCCCCCTCCTTCTTGGCCCCTCTATATGAACTCGCCCCCCACCCTCCCCCCCTG